TACTGGAGCCGAGAACCTGGGAAAGGCTATGGAGCTGACGCAGTTGGTAGAAGATCTAGAAGAAAGCAGAAAGAGGGCTGAGGAAACTGCTCAGGAGGCTCTTACAGGAGCGAACGACAACTCTTCTAGCACCAAGGGGCCTGCATCAGGCAACAGTAATGAGACCCCCGGGAGAAGCCAGTAGGAGGAGGGAGTGGGGAAAATTTCAAGAGGCTGACAGAGAATGAGATGCAAGATAAGAGGACAAAGGGGTTGTGCTTTCAGATTGATGAGAAGTACATGCCAGGGCATAGGTGCAGGCCGAACTCTTCAGGTTCTCCTTGTTTGTGAAGACGAGGAAGACGAGGAGGGAGGTGGGAGCAGATCTGGAGAGGGGAGGAGAAGTTGCACCTGGATGTGGCAGAAAGTCTCTCTGACTCAGTAGTGGGATTCACTCCGAGTCACACTATGAAAGTGAAAGGAGAGATAGCTAACCGTGAGGTGGTTGTGCTAATTGATAGTGGGGCTACCCACTATTTCATTTCCACTCAGGTAGTTTGACCAATTAGGAGTGAAGTTGGTGGACACGGTTGCTATGGGAGTGATGATGGGTACAGGGAGGTGGAGAAAAGGCCAGGGGATCTGTAGAGGAGTTGGTGGTTGACCATCCAGGAAATTCAAGTAAAGGAGGATTTCTCCCACTAGAGTGGAAGCCTTGATGTCATCCTGGGGTGAAGTGGCTGCAACCTTGGGGGAAACCAAGGACAATTGGGAGAGCACTCACGATGGAATTAATGGTGGATGGGAGAAAGGTGGTTATAAGGGGAGATGCAATGCTATCAAAGCATGAAATCACATAAGGATCATGGTTAGGGCATACAAGAGGTGGGGGACAGATTATATGGTAGGACTAAACAGGCTGGATGCGATCAGATTGGAAGAGGGAGGGGATGGTTCGCTTCCTTCCGTGCAGTCCTTGGTTCAGCAGTACAATAGGATATTTCAGTCATTTCTCAAGGATGGACCACCTTCCACGGAACACGAACATATCTCCACTTGAGGACAAGGTGATTTTTGGGAAGGGAAGTATTGTTAGACGGTCACAGCCGGTCCAGGCGGACCGGCTCAGGCATGAACAGGTCGGAAGTTTCTCCGCCCGCTGGATGCTGCTGGACGGCTCAGGCACGAACAGGGCGGAAATTTCTTTCTGCCGCCTGGGGATGCCGAGCGAGCCGCCAGGCGTGCGGGAGCCAAATAGGAAAGAAATTTTGGGGAGTTAAGAGGGAAATTTGAATGTAGGGACTGTTTAGGAAATTCCTTTTGATTTGTATGCATTAATAGTTGTTTTTTCAGGGTGTTGAGTTCTTGAATTTGACTGAAATTTGAGATCTCGTAGATTTTAGGTTTCTTTTGGGCTCTTGGCGTTGCCAGAGATTTGGGAGAGAAGATCCTCCTTCAAATTGAGGATCAATTGTATCTTGCTATTTTATTCTTCTACCAGTAAAATACAAGCTGTTCTTCCCAATTTTCTCTCAGCTTTTCCCTGTTTTTTCCCACAGTTTTGCTGTTTTTCTGCTGTGAACAGCAGTTTGCATCGAGATTTGCTGTAGAAGTGATTTGGAAATACTTGAAATCAAGTATTTCTATCAGATTTGTAAATTGGAAGAATTTTTCTGTTGTGCCTAAAGAATTTTATTTTTTTGGCAACATCGTCCGGGACGATCTGACAAAGTAGAAATCCTAATTAGGGCCCCTCATTAAAGCAGCACGTTTTTATGCAAACACATCGTCCTGGGACGATTTTGCGGCCGCCAGGACGATCGGCTCAATTTAGAAAATCTGCCGCATATCTTACTTAGGAAATCTTATTTTTTGGATATCAGCCTGGTGGAACGGCCTGGACTATTAAAAATCCGTCCAGGACGTACAAGGACAATTTTCCAAAATTTCTCAGGCAGTTTTGGAAAGCAATTAATGGGGATTTTGTCCGGGCCGATCGCAAAGATCGTCCGGGACGATTGACATCGTCCAGCTTCAATTTTAGGGCGATATTCAGGATGATTTTTCGCTCATAGTTTGAACTATCGGACCAGGGACGATATGTCTATCGTCCTGGACGATATGGAGGCAACTTGTATTATAGAGCTCGTTTTGAGAGCTTCTATTTAGCTATGGCAAGACAACTTTGTAAGTGTCTTTGGCGCTATTGAGCATTCGTTCTCTTGTGGGGGAAACTTGAAGAGAGAGCTTGAAAGGGAGAGAGGAAAGGGTGGAGTTTGAGAGGGAGAAGTTCCTGTGAGGGGGAGGAACTCAAGTGAGTGTGGTGGGGGATCCACATGGTTGCTCCGGCGAACTCGCACCTTAGTACCATCGGATTCAAGGCTTGTCTCAAGGTAAGTTCACCAAAGAAGAAGATCTCTTTGGTGTCAAAGGACCCAGCAACTCCGCCGCACCGGGGAAGGTGGAAGTGATTTTGTTAGAGCTTCTCCGCCTAGCTGTGGGGGCTAAAGGAGAGACACTTGTTTTAGTGTAATACTTGGTGGGTGCCTCCAAGGAGTGGACGTAGGTCAATGTTTGACCGAATCACTTTAAATCCGGTGTGTTCTTTTCTTATTACTGCTTCCGGATTATTTTCTTCCGCACTTTGTTTTCTATGTGGTGATATTGATTTTGGTTTGCAGTTTTGTTTTAAAAGATCTTTAAACAACCAATCCACCTCTCTTTTGTTTAGCCTCGGGCCAGTTCTATATGGCTTAACATCCCTAACGAACTTTTAATGGGTAGTCATGAAGCGTGATTGAATTGCTCGACGGCCACCGGAAACCTCAAAATTCCTTTCGATACTTATACGTATAATGCTTCCTTCTTTGTCCAGAGAAAGATCTATCTAGTACTGCAGAAGGAAAACAGAAAATATATAATAGAAATTTATGAGGCTACAAGATGTGTGCACTGTTTTTACTAGTATTTAAGCTGGTATGGTTTGCTTGAGGCTTTACGGTTGCACTAGTTAAACTTGCATCTTCTATTTCATTTTCCATGTTTTTGGTTGAAACCGTAGGCACTGACATTCTTCGTTCCTTCAGAACTTTGTGGCATACTACATGAGAATTATGTATAGCTTCTGATGAACAGGTTATGTTTCTTGGTGGCGGAGGGTTGCCTCATTGCTGGATCAGTAAGGAATGCTTATCACACCAAGTACATCGGCTACTACGAAAAGAAGGATTTGACATCATGTATCGCCCTTCGTAAGGGCGTCTTTGCGGCAGCAGCAGCCTTCGCACTGTTTTCATTGGCTTCATCTCTGTCATTCTACTGGAGCTATTCCAGAGGTGATACAGTAGGATGGGTGAAACACCAAAATGAAGGTGGTATAGGCATGGCAGAATATGGCCAAGATAAGAGTGAGCTCAGAAGCGCAAATATATGAACTGTTATGTCATGCTAATTCAAGCTACGCGGGATCTGTTGCTCCTTTTACAGTAGAAGATAGCGAATTCGATAATCCTTCCAGCGGCAAACAGGTCTTTGAAGCCTTGGAGGGTTTGTACTGTATGTGATCGCAGTGGTACGGTTTGAATGTTGATACCGAAGTATTTTGTTCTATGGATTTTTAACTACTTGAATGATCCCCTTTGTGTAGGAAACTGAGGATATGCTGATCTGTCTCTGGATGTGTTATGTGTCCATGAACGATTGTTGGATAAAACTTGGTAGTGAAGGAATTGTTGTGTTCATTTGTTGTTTGTTACTAGTAGAGTTAAGGACGTCTCTTTGGTATTGGTATTATATTCAGCGGCTTTGCTTGTCATGTGAGAGCATAATCTTTTAATTAATTGATTGGTAATTTTTTTCTTCAAAAAATTATGTTAGGATGAAATGATTTTGAGATTATTATTGCATATAAAGAATTTGTATCGCATAAATCTCAATAAATCTGTTTGTTTTAAGCTCATCATGCTATAATTTATATGATACAAGTTTTATAAGGGTATTTTGATATAATTTTCATGAAATACAAACTTGTTAAAGTTGTCAATATGTTTACACACATATATATATTGTAATTTTCATGAAATGTACATGTAAGGTGGTTGATCATGAAACTTGGGGATTAGTTAAGTAGGATGTCATGATATGTAATATGCATAAATAAAGATCATGTAATGAATTCTCTATGTGGGCATTTAATACAATTTAAAGATAAAGCTAGGGATGGGTCAGGTGAAAGATCACATACCCATTTGCAAGGGCACTTCTAAAGAAAGTCAAATCAAATGCTTGCAAGGCCAACAATCACCATACCTCATCACTGCATAAAGCCTTGATGTTATGTTCACTCCACTTACATGTGTGATAACTTGTTTGATTTAGAATTTGAATAATATAAGGGTTTTTTAAAAATGTAAAAATTTTAAAGAAGAATTATTTATTGAATTGAAATTAAATTGTCTATTTTATGGATTGTTGTTTAGTGGCTTGAATCTTGATCGGTGGTTTTGTGGTTAAATATCATTTTAACTCTTTGGAGAGTGTGGAACATTTTTTTCCTTCTATTTTCATCTCACCTCTCACACATCCACAAGCCCTCAAACACTTCTCCCTTCCATGCATTTCATCCAAAACAAAACAATCCACCAAGCTCTAGGTTTTATCGCATCCCCACCACATTCCAACCTTATATTAGCCTATGACCTTCAAAAACATTCTCCAAGTGCTAGATTATCCCTTACAAATCCAAACACGAATTTGATAATGCTATGGTCCAAAATCTAAATTTTGAAAAAATTGTATATTTTATCTCTTAATTAATTTACCCGAGTTACTAAATCTATTTATCTAAAACTAAAAAAAAAAGTATTTGTATGATCACCATTCATCAAAATTCATTTACACTAGTCAGAAGTCCAAATAATACATTTACCTATCTTTTAATACAAACCTAAAACACTGAATTCAGATTACCCTCTCTCAACTGGATCCTGACCCATTCCTAAAAAACATGTAAAAGTCACATAATGCACTAATAGCTCAGTAGGTTACCAAAATCTAAAACTACAATTAACCAAATATAATAGGAATAACTGTTTGATGACTATGGCCCCCCGGGGGGGGGGGGGTGATTGGGGTTCTTAAAAATTTTTTATTAAAGAAGAAATTAAAATGATTAAAGCCACATTTTGAAAAGAGTAAGTAGTCCATACAATATTCTTATAAAAAGACAGAAAAAATAATGTAAGAATGAAATAAGAGGGCAAAATATTTTTAATGTTTTTCGGCCCGGATTCCAATTTCACCTAACATCCACGCTAGCACAACTGTCGGGCTTAGAATTCATATCCTCAGGTTTGCTTTGCAAACCTCACTTCTTTAAAACCAAAAGAAGTTTCTTTACAACCTAAGTACTCTCCTTAATCGGGCGAGTTCAACCAATTAATTACAATTAAAACTTTCATAAAGACAAAATGGCTTAGATAATAAAAATGAAATACAATTTGATGTAAATAAACAAGCTCAAATACTTCTTGCAAATAAATATCGACAATAAATTTTGAGGCGATCTTACAAATTAACTTTATCACCTCACTACTTGCAAATTTGAAATAATTAAAATTTGCTCATTTAAAGAATAGAATTTATATTTTGTTTTAAAATAAGAATAATTTTTTAAATAAAAATATAGTCTTGCTGATTTCAACTATAACTCTCATAAAGTAAATGAATTTGATAATAGATGTAATCTATGGCGCCTTAAAGAATAAAATATTTGCTTTTGCTAAACTTATGGATTTTAAAAATGATGTGAATAGAAAATTATAAAATTATATTAAATTTCCAACAACGTCATAATCCTCAACAATAAAAATATTTTCAAGAAAGAAATATATGGTGGAAGCTAAAAGAATAGTAAAGTAAGAATTTAGAGATGAAAATCAAACTCAAGAACTCAGAGATGTTACTCGGTTTTGTTGTGTTGATGAGTTTTCCAACAACGATTTCGATCTTCGCAAATGAAAATAAATCTTGGAATAAAAATCAAGGCTTCTTCCCTGCCTCTCAAGATTTAGCATGTAAAGAGGAAGAATGAAAAATTGCAGGAAGATTTTCTTTGTTTTAGGCAGGCCTCTTCATGAGGAAGAGGAGGGTATTTAAAGAGAAAGGATAAGAAAAACACATTAGAAATAAAAATATTATGCTTTCTAATCAACTAATAATATTATATTCCATTAAGAATTCATTTTATATTATATATATATATATTATATATATATGAGATTCAAAACGGCTATAAAAGCGCTAGCCACAATAATAAGGTCAAAAAGTCTTCATATGCATCCAAAATGGGCCTAAAATGGCTAGCAGCATATTTAGTTAAATGCAGGTAATATTCTGGAAGTTCATTTAATTCAAATGACATTCCAATGAGTTCAAATAACCTTATCACAATTTATATTACATAATTTAAACAATAACGCAATAAAATTAGATCTGCATTTCTGACAACATAATATCGAATCAGCAAATATGAAACCTCATGGCACATTTTTAAATATTTAACGGATATATTGAATATTAATATATAATATTATGTAATATATAATATTAATTAATCATACATTAATGAATGAATGTAAAACAAGTCAATTTAAATAATAAATGTTTTACCATATAAGCTTATTACTCTTAATTTTCCTAATTAGACAACTCTTCATATTTGATAATAATTAATCAATAAAATGAAGGTAATAAAATTTATTTAATAAAGAAATCTTATAGATTTCTATATGAAAAAATAATATATAATTAATAAATATTTAGATTGTGAGAAAATTAAATCCTACAAGTAATATTAGTGGACCACTAACATACTCCTATGATAATGTAAAAGCCTTCAAGTCATCCATCTTGGTCCATCATAATCTCAACATTTGAGTTGTGCAATGTAAATTCCATAAGCAATTATAATGCACATCATTTCACCTGAAATACTTAGCACACAAATTAGAGCATCCAAGCATATGTTTGTTATCATCAAAATCTCTAAAATAGGTTATGAGGTAGATAATATTAACAATCTTCCCCTTTTTGATGATGACAAACTTATGTTGGTATAGTTATAACAAAGGTGCAAATTGACCTTTTATCATAACTTTTAAGCATAAAAAAATATTATAATTAAGAAAATATGCAAATAATTCTTCCCCTAAATATATGCATGTAAAATGAATTATGACCAACATATATAGTTCTTCTCCCCCTTTGACAACATCAAAAAGAATAATTAAACATATAAAATAAATTTAAATGTTAGGATCTAACATCCCAAGCATATGTCTTAACATGCAAAATCTCTCTTCAGCTAACGATTTTGTAAAGATATCAGCTATTTGAAAATCAGTGTTTACAAAATCTATATTCACATCACCTTTATTAACATGATCTCTAATAAAATAGTGTCTAATCTCTATGTGTTTAGTTCGTGAATGTTGTATAGGATTTTTTGTTAAACTTATAGCACTTGTATTATCACATTTAATGGGGATATTTTTAAGCTTAATTCCAAAATCTTCTATTTGATGCTTTAGCCATAAAACTTGAGCAACACAACTACCTGTAGCTATGTACTCTGCTTCAGTAGTGGATAAAGCAACTGAATTTTGTTTTTTAGAAGACCAAGAAATAAGTGACGATCCTAACAATTGATAGGTTCCAGATGTATTTTTTCTATCAACCTTACAACCAGCATAGTCTGCATCAGAATATGCAATTAAACTACATGATAATAAATTCTTGGGATACTATAAGCCTAACTTATGAGTTCCAATCAAGTAACGAAATATTCTCTTAATTACTATTAAGTGTGATTCCTTAGGATTAGCTTGAAATATTGCACATAAACATACAACAAACATAATATCAAGAGCAGTAAGATACAATAGTGAATCTATCATACTCCTATAAATTTTTTGATCTATTGGTTTTCCTGATTCATCTAAATCAAGTCTAGTTGATGGGCTTATAGGAGTTTTACTCATTTTAAATCTCTTCATATCAAACTTTTCTAATAATTCATTTATGTATTTGGTTTGACATATGAATGTGCCAGACTCTAGTTATTTTACTCGAAGTCCTAAGAAAAAGGTGATTTCTCTCATCTTACTCATTTCAAATTCTTTTGACATTAATGAGGAAAACTCATGGCAAAAACTTTTATTTGTACTTCCAAATAAGATATCATTAACATAAATCTGTATAATAATCAAATCATCTCTAATATTTTTGATAAAAAGAGTTGTATCTACCTTACCTTTTCTAAAATTATGCTCAATTAAAAAGTTACTTAACCTATCATACCAAGCACGTGGAGCCTGTTTTAAACCATATAAAGCTTTTTTAATTTATATACATGATTAGGAAAATTAATTCTTTCAAAACCTAGTGGTTGTTCTAGAAAAACATCTTGATCAATATACCCATTCAAAAATACGCTTTTGACATCCATTTGAAAAAGTTTAGAGTCCTTAAAATAATCAAAGGCAAGAAGTAATCTAATGGCTTCTAGTCTTGCTACGGGTGCAAAAGATTCTTGAAAGTCTATTCCTTCTATTTGTGTGTACCCTTGTGCAACTAATCTAGCTTTATTTCTAATAATACTTCCTGAGTCATCTAGCTTATTTTTATAAACCCATTTAGTTCAAATTATATTTTGATCATGAGGTCTTGTGACTAACTCCCAAACATTATTTCTTATAAATTGGTTAAGTTC